GTGTGTGTGTGTGTGTGTGTGTGTGTGTGTGTGTGTGTGTGTGTGTGTGTGTGTGTGTGTGTGTGTGTGTGTGTGTGTGTGTGTGTGTAATTTTTTACTTTTTACTTTTCTTTTCGCTCTTGCTAAAAGCTCCGACAATGAGCCACTTTTTCTTGACATTAAAAAAAAAAAAACGTTTAAAGAAAAACATTTCCCAGCCTCTTCAGACCTGAAGTAGGCTAGAGATACACATCACCTTTAAGGCACTGCCGTATAATAACAACCTCGAAACATTCACCATTCTATATATCCAAAAGAAAAGTACGTGTGTGTGTTAAAAGTATCAAAAAAGTAATAGATCGAATATTTCGTTTCCTTTGCCTCCATGCCAATAGAATGTCCGTAGTGATGGAACGCTCCCGGTTACGCTACACTGCGGGTATAATCTGCAAGGGTAGCAACGGTTCGCGGAAAATCCATTTTTTTTCTATTCCTCGGTAGCACCTTATGCCAACGTGGGCTGATGACAAACTGGGGCCCTCTAATTATTTTGCAAATCTTTAAATCATTGTGTTTTTTCATATACTTGTGTGTCTACTAACCTACCTGTATACCTGCATACATACATATATATGAATACATTCACACCTTCCTACCTACATACATATATATACATACATACATTCACACACACGCACGCACGCACGCACGCACGCACGCACACACACACACACACACACACACACACACGCACACCTTTGCTTTAAACATCCTGCAACCTACCTACCTACATATATATACATACATTCACAGACACACACACACACAACACACACACACACACACACACACACACACACACACACACACACACACACACACACACACACACACACGTACACCCTTCCGCCTCGTCCTCTGCCTCGCCACTGAGCTTATTTGCCGTGAGGATTTCTCATCCGAGGAACAGGCTCGACCGAACCCTCAAGTGCGATCGGAAGCCACTTTCTGAGCGCTTGGATTCTGTTGACCTTATTTGGCAAAGGTTCAGGGCTTTATAAATCCGGAGAGAGGAGGTGAAGGACTAATGAAAGTGACGTCATCATCCTTTTCTCGGAAGTAGGACAGCGAAGGACATAGAAAAAATACGAAATACATTGATATATTCTCAAATAAAGCCATTTTACTTTATTCTTCGTAACTAACAACACATAAATTGCCTCTGACGAGAATCAGCTTCATGAAAAAACATATTAGTGTCCAATTAACAAATTTGACACTGAAAATGCGGAGATTTTTGTAATAGGGTCAAAAGCAAGACAATATCGTATAATTGTTATAAAATCGTAAAAAAACAGTTGGAAATACTTGTGTGTGTGTGTGTGGGTGTTTGTTTGAGTTTGTGTGTGTGTATGTGTATGTGTGTGCGTGTGCGTGTGCGTGTGCGTGTGCGTGTGCGTGTACGTGTATGTGTGTGTGTGTGTGTGTGTATTTATGTTTGTGTGAGTGTGTTTATGTATGTGTGAGTGTGTGTTTATGTATGTGTGTGTTTATGTATGTGTGGGTTTATGTATGTGTGTGTGTTTATGTATGTGTGTGTGTTTATGTATGTGTGTGTTTATGTATGTGTGTGTTTATGTATGTGTGTGTTTATGTATGTGTGTGTTTATGTATGTGTGGGTTTATGTATGTGTGAGTTTATGTATGTGTGTGTTTATGTATGTGTGTGTTTATGTATGGGTGAGTGTGTGTTTATGTATGTGTGTGTTTATGTATGTGTGGGTTTATGTATGTGTGTGGTTATGTATGTGTGTGTTTATGTATGTGTGTGTTTATGTATGGGTGAGTGTGTGTTTATGTATGTGTGTGTGTGTTTATGTATGTGTGTGTTTATGTATGTGTGGGTTTGTGTATGTGTGAGTGTGTGTTTATGTATGTGTGTGTTTATGTATGTGATGTATGTGTGAGTGTGTGTTTATGTTTGTGCGTGTGTGTGTTTATGTATGTGTGAGTGTATGTTTATGTATGTGTGTATTTATGTTTGTGCGTGTGAGTTTCTTCTAGAGTCATAGCATGCTATCGATAATTCATAATACTATCTCTGACTCAAATACGCTGACGTAAACAACTAGTAATCATAGAGACGAATGTACCGTCACGCACTTCTTGTGTTATCCAAACTTTATACGAAAGAGAGAGAAAAAAATAGAAAAAATAATGTTGGTTAGTGGGAAAAACAATACCCCTATTTGATGTAAATGTAAAGATTCAGTGTACTGTCATGCGTCTGTAGGTTTTCATTGCATAAAATGTTTTTGCGGCCTATTTGCCCCTTTGTTACTCTTTGTGTTTGTTTGTTGGTCTCTCCCTTTGTCTCTGTCCTCTTCTCTCTCTCTCTC